GTTTATTCAAGCACTTAAAGCAGAGGCACACTGCGGAGTGGGAGAAGTTCAGCTCCCAGCAAAATGAAAATACCCGCAGCATTAGCACATCATCCAAAATAAAGCAAGCAACTTAAACTCAAACCGCTTCAGCAAAAATGAAATGTGCACAGTCAGTCAGTTTGTCGTAGTTTTATTTTATTACACAAAACAGCAATATACAGTGGGTACAGAAAGTATTCAGACCCCCTTCAATTTTTCACTCTTTGTTATATTGCAGCCATTTGCTAAAATCATTTAAAATATTTTTTTCCCCTCATTAATGTACACACAGCACCCCATATTGACAGACAAAAAAAAGAATTTGTGAAATTGTTGCAGATTTATTAAAAAAGAATAACTGAAATATCACATGGTCCTAAGTATTCAGACCCTTTGCTCAGTATTTAGTAGAGGCACCCTTTTGAGTTAATACAGCCATGAGTCTTCTTGGGAAAGATGCAACAAGTTTTTCCACACCTGGATTTGGGGATCCTCTGCCATACCTCCTTGCAGATCCTCTCCAGTTCTGTCAGGTTGGATGGTAAACGTTGGTGGACAGCCATTTTTAGGTCTCTCCAGAGATGCTCAATTGGGTTTAAGTCAGGGCTCTGGTTGGGCCATTCAAGAACAGTCACAGAGTTGTTGTGAAGCCACGCCTTCGTTATTTTAGCTGTGTGCTTAGCAGTGTTGTGCATGAACGAGTTCAAAAGAACGCGTTCATTGAACACGTTCATATTTCAGTGAACTTTGAACTGAACGCAACTTATTAGTACATCAAGAACTTGAACGTGAATTTTATGCGTGATGAACGGCGTAGACGTCGTTCACTGTTAGAATGCAATTAAACATCGGGATTTATTTTCACCTGATGAGTCGAGTGACAAGGTCGGCTCACACATTTAAACAGCATGTTGCGTTGTCACTCAAGCACTAGCGAAGGGCTCCTCCGCTCGAAAAATAAAATGCACAGGCTGACTCTCGCTCAGCGCTTGTGTGCAGTGCATCTTGGGTAACGTAGTGTAAAGCCAAGGACAGTCGAATCTAATGTCTTTAGCTTCACACTACGTTTCCCATAATGCACACACACACATCTCAAAGGGCACAGCCTTGGCAACGCATGAGTGCGAAGCGAACTGCTGCAGCAGTAACCATGGCAAGCGCAGAGGAGGAAAGCTCAACCACCAGTTGAGCTGGCACAGAAACACGGATGATGCTGGCTGTAACTTTGACAATTTACGGGCATTTTACACACTGTCTCACAGAGACTCTGACGGTAAAAACCTAACCTTTCTGTGCAAGCTTTGTCCACCTGCGCTGAAAAAACAAGTTAGAACATCAATGACCTCATTTTCCAATTTGAAAAGGCACGTTGAGTTGAAGCATTCGTCCAGCGTGAAAGCATATATGCAAGCCCTTCAAGGTCATAGGGGGAAGGGCAAAACCCCCAGCCAAAGTCCCCAAACGACTCAAGTCACACTGCCTGCTGCCTTCAGGGGTATAATCTCCCAGCAACAGGTAGACAGATTAATAATAGACTACATTGTTGGAGATTTACAGCCACTGAGTAAGGTTGAAAAACCCTCCTTCATAAAACTAGTAACTGGTTTGCAACCAGGCAGACATGTGCCCTCAAGAAGACAGGTGCAGGGACTACTGAATAAGGAATTCATTGAGGTTATCAGTAATTTAAAAGCTGAACTTGCTGAGCTTGACTTTGTATGCACAACAGCTGACTGCTGGTCAGCTGTCAACAAAGGATTCATGGGCATCACAATTCATTGGCTTGATAAAAATGATGTGTCACTCAGGAGATCAGCAGCCCTTGCATGTCGTCGTGTCAGAGGGTCACACACATATGATGTCCTGGCTAAAGTGCTGACAGATGTGTACAAGGAATTTAAAATTCAAAACAAAATTGTGTGCACAGTGACTGACAATGCTTCCAATTTCGTCAAAGCATTCAGCTGTTTTGGAGACAGTGTTGTTATTAGAGCAGCTGATGAGGTGACTGAAGGCAGTGACACAGGATCTACCCCTGCTGAGAGCTCCGATGATGAGGACGATGGTCTTGAGCCTGCACCTCTGTCAGAGTTAGAGGATCCCTGCCTCCCACCTCATAGAAGGTGCATGGCCCATACTTTAAATCTTATTGCCACAGATGCAAAGAATGTAATGGATAGGCTGTACAACAAATTAGCGAGGCCTGTATTTTCCAAGGCATCTGCTCTGTGGAATAGGGTGAAAAGGAGTGCGAAAGCCTCAGATTTTGTTGAGGAAAAGCTAAAGATTGGCTTTGTCACTCCGAACGACACACGTTGGAATTCTATGTTCCTCTCAATGCAGCGCCTGGCTCACATAGCCACCTTGACTCCCCAGACCAGCAATCTAACAGTGCCATTGGATGCCACTCCTGAGTATGACAGACTCCTTCTGCACACCATCTGTGATGAGTTTGGGCTTCGTCAATTCACTCCAGAGGAAATAGACTTCATCAACAAGTTTGTGAGTGTGATGGGTCCCTTGGCATGTGCTCTGAACATCCTTCAGGGGGAAAAAAACACATTCCTCGGCTACCTGGCTCCTACCATTGTGCAATTGAAAAATGATTTGGATGGTCTGTTGGATGAGAGTTCAAAGCCTACAGCTACACAAGGTCTGACGGCATGCCGCCCCCTCATCCAAACCTTGATGCAGTCACTCTCTAGAAGACTGGAAGGCTGTCTTGAAAACAAAGATCACATACTGGCAGCCATACTACTCCCAGTGTTCAAGCTGGACTGGGTGGAGGATCAGAGTAAGTGAGTGCAGTACAGATTGATGTTGAGGGAAGAGCTGCGATCTGTGAATGTGCCTGAGTCTGAGCAACCCCCTGATGACCTTGAGGGGAAAAAGAGTGCTTCATCCTTTTTTAAGTTCAAGCAAAGCCCATCAGCTGTCAATAAGTGTGAGGTGGACATCTATCTGGACGCCCCAACCACTGACGAGTTTACTGAATACATGCTGCTGCCCAAACTGAAGAAGCTCTTCATCAAATATAACACAGCAATCCCATCAAGTGCTCCAGTGGAGAGACTCTTCAGTACCGGTGGCCAGATATTTAGGCCCAGGAGAAACCGATTGGGAGATGCCAACTTTGAAAAGCAACTGCTGTTAAACGTGAACAAAAAACAGTTTGGACTGAAGCCGTAGGCATGGTCTGTGGAGTGTTCATTACTTACTACAACAATGGCTTCTGTATGTGAAAGTTTTTATTTTTAATAGTTCAGTGAGATGGTGCCACACACCTTCAAGAAGCGTGAGTTTTTTTTGTTTTTTTTTTTTTAAATAAAACTAAAGAGATATTTTGCTGAATAATAAATATTCTGTTCTGTCTAGTTTTCATTTGAGATGGATATGATGCCTATACTGTATGTGTTTACAGTACTTTTCTTTTCCTTCCTTTGTCTAGTATTGGGGCAAGAGATAAATAAACCATAAATA